TTATAGAGTAAACCTACATGAAACCATGATTTCAAAGCATACTCATCATCTTTAACCTCTCTTCTATGCATACACAACCAAACTACACATGATCATATTTTTGATTGGGTGAACATCTATATTTGAGTTGATAACGTCAAATTAGGTTGTTGTACCGAGAATATTGGGTTGATGAGGGTTTCAAATAATAAAACTGAATTGGAGCTTTCCTTCAATATCATTGAGGATTTGAAGGTTTTGGACAAGATTTACGCAATTCGGATCCGATTGAGTGAAAGCCTTGGGACAAGGGGTGCCTTGCAAGGAAGTAGCGTGAGACAGAGGATCATGTTGGTAAATCTTGGGTTTGAACAAGTGTGTGCTTGAGATTAATTCAGTCAGGTGAAAGCCTTGGGACAAGGGGTGCCTTGCAAGGAAATAGCAAGAACATGTGAATTGAAGCAACATTGTTGGTGACTTGATCAATATTTGATCAAGGGTTTTGAAGGTGGTAGAATCAACAACAAATATAGCGTTTGTAGTGTTAGAGTTCTTCATCTCTTGTATATGTACTTTCTGTAAAGTAAGGTTAATTACAACTATCTTAATTCGAATTTGAATTGAGGGCAGACGTACTCATAACAAGGCCGATTGAGGAACTACCTAAACAAATCCTTATGTATGTGCGTGCGTGTGTGTGTGTGTGTGTGTGTGTGTATATATATATATTAATTTTTATGTTAGCAAATTATTGAATTCAATGTTGTTTGATCAATTCGTTTGAGAATTAATTTTTTATTGTATTTTGAAATAGGGTTTGTTGATATAATCACAATCCGTTAGATTGTGATTGGTTTTCACATCAACAAAATAAAGCAAATTTCTAAACGATATCGATTGCACACAAAATATTTGATAAATTGTCTTTTTGTGTGTTTTGATCATTGAGAATAAGTTATACGTGTAGCTTTGCGTTCAATAGTTTATGATTGATTTTTGTTGAATAATTTGTGTTCATTATTATACATTTGTGTACCTTTACGCATACCCTAGATTTTCGATAGAGGTTCGGTTAGATGATTCGATTTAGTTTGTTTCCGCTGTGCAATAAAACTTTTGAAAACCATTTTTGCCAAAAGATTAATTTTTAATTTGTGATCTATTGACCCCCCTCTAGATCGAAGCCTATCATCTAAAATTAATGAAATGAAAAATTAATGTTGTAATATGTAATACTTATAATATTGCAACTCTCTTAGTAAGTAAGGAAACATAAAACATTTCATTAATAATTGAAGATCAATTACATAATTGTCATTTTGTCATAGATTGCACAAAAGGATATGATCCATTACAAAAAGTGATCAATTACACACCAAAAGATCCATTACATAACCCAATCAACTTGATCATTGTGTTTGTGGCGCTTGTGATATTTGGGTCAAGATAGTAGGTGCTTCTTTGGTTGATGTTCTTTTTTGCTTCTTAGCCTTGTTATTACCTTTGGGCAATTGTCAATCCGCCACTGTTTTTCATTTGCAAGTTCTTGAGTTGTGCCAAAAAGTCCCAAAACTTATATACTTTACAATTGTCAAATTTCTAGGCAGTACATTGCTTGAATATGGTTCATCATTAGCTTTGTTTCTTTTCTTCTTGACTTTACCCGAAACTCATATCATGAACGGTGGATTAATTATTTTCCCATTAGCTGCAGGCCAAAGTTTTGGTCCGTTGGATGGTAGAAAAATATACAGTAAGTTGTCAAAAAGCTTGTTTTCCTATTCAACACACATTAGTCAATTCATTGCATATGTATATAGTAATCAATTCACTCAATTGTATATCAGTGCATTATCAAAGCAATTCAACAATTCAAATTGCATATCAATGCATTATCAATCACTTCAGCATAAAAAATGCATATCATGGCAGTTCAACATGCAAAGTACATATTAGAGCATTATAAGTGCATTATTAATGTAGTTCATCATTGCTCAACTTAGGCATTTTAATCAATTTAGGAACTTCAACATTATTAGTGCAGGTATATTTAGGCATTTTAGCATTGCTCAATTTAGGCAGTTCAGTCAAATTAGGCTGTTTAACGCTAACAATGCATATAATTATAGACATATAAGTGCAAATACTAGTATAAGCATAACAATCCAAGTATATCTGTCTAAGTATATCAGTGTAATTACCATTCCATGTATAACATGACATTCTAAGTTTAACAATGAGTATAATAATCAAAGTATAACAATCCAAGTATATCAGTGCATGTACCAGTACAGGTACTAGTCCAACTATAACATAACAGTCTAACATTCAACATGTCATCTTGGTCAACGTTCAACATTCAAAATTCCAAGCATGTTAAACATTCAGTCAATGCATGGCATTCTAAGCATTCTAAGAATGTTCAACATTCATGACATATCAATTCAACATTCAACATGTCAACATGTTCAACATATTAGCACATAAACAGTTCAAACACATATCATATATGTCCAAAACAATTCATGTCAGTAGAGGCAATGACATAATAGTCGTAACTATAATAGCTGAAACAAACACATCACAATCAACCTTGTTGTGTATAATAAAAACTATAACATGGACACATGGAGTGCCACTCAGAGCCTATTTATGACAAGCACATTAATGTCGTTGTAATGTCACCTCATAAGTGTCAATACAATTTGTAACACAAAAAATGTTGAAATCATCATCTCCATGTCAAGTTGGCGTCTAACCCCCAACCGCCGGTTCCAACCTTTCTATCATTTGTTCAACCTTAGGACAAATTGTGCCTCTAAAACAACTCATAAAATTATTTTGTTTCGCTATCCTAATTGTGATGTAATGCTTTAGACCTTCAAGCAAAGTAATGATGGGCTTTTCTATGTACTCTAAAATAACCATGTTGAACGCCTCACACATGTTATTCACTTGCAAGTCACAGTGGCTGTGAATGAAGAATGAAAATCTAGTCCACATGGAAGGTGGAAGTTCCATCATGTCTTTCCAAGAATCTTCATTATATCTTTTATTCTTTGCATGACTCTTTCTCAACCCTGCGCATCTATTTTCCTAGCTGTTTGACAAAGTAATTCTTTTATGTCCCCATCATGATACTTCTTCTTTCAATTTCCATACAAGTGTTTAACACATAACCTGTGTTCTACGTTCGTACCCAGGTTAGCAATAAATGGTACCAAACCCTATAAAAACATAAATGTACTAATAAACGGATATGCAAAGTTAATAACCATACAAATATTTAAGAATTACCTTTTGTTTGTCTGAAATGAAACCATAAGGCATTTGCATATTATTTAGATCTTGTAATAATAGATAAAAAACCATTGCCATAAGTCTTTTGTCTTCGCTTCCACCACCACATATGCAATTAGATAAATATTATTATTGCCATCTTTTCCTACTACTTCCATTAACTGACCACCATACTCAACCTTCAAGAAACATGCATCAAGACCAATTAAAGATTTGCATGTATATGCAAATGCAACTTTACATGTCTCAAGGCATACTTATATTCTCTAAAAAATAAGTCAAATATCAGACATGCCACGCTTAATTATTAATGTACTATTAGGATTATATCTTCTTAGTTCCTTAGTATAATTTCTCAAATAAGAATATTGCTCTATCTCAACACCTTGAATAGTTCTAAATGCTCTGGTTTTGGCCCTATATGCTTTAGTTGAGGACAACTTCACACCATATTTTTTAATTTCCTATGCAATAAATCTCTCTGACCACATTTCAGGTGTATGTCTTAGGAATGATATAAGCTTCTTAGCTAGCCGCTTAGTCTCAGCTTGCCTATACTTGACAGTCATATGACAAATGTGATCATTAGTTAGACTCACTAACTGTCAGAATTAGTTGGCTACCCTTTTACTAAATCTCATGTGAAATGGACAGTCTTTGTCGCACCTAATAACTATTCTTTTGCTATCATTTTTTTGAAATGCAAGTTTTATTCCTCTCTATTACATAAGACTTAACTGCATACCTAACAAGCATCTTTGTGGCAAATGTCATTCCAAGCTCGAGTCTCACCTCATCACCATAATTATGCATTTTAAATTTGAGATACTTTTGTTCTTTACCTTCATCTTCACTTCGTTAACTGTCTTTGTCTGAACTGACCTAGAACAAGCCAAAATAAAAAAGCAACGTATCATCATGGTACCAAAAAAAAAAAATACAATTTAGCATTTCAAGTGACATATAACACTTCAAAACATCCCATAATCATTTTAGGTATCAGTTCGTTTTAAGTGACATATAACACTTCTAAACAACGCATAACCAGTTCAGGTATCCGTTCATCTCAAGTGCATATAACATTTTAAAACAGTCCATAATCAGTTTACAATAAAAAAATCAGCATACCTAAAACAAAACTTGAGATCTTCCTTAGTTCAAGATAAGGGTGCACCATGAGAGTAAGACATTCAGCCACTGCTTGCAATTGAAATGAATTTCAAAGTTTCAGCTTTGTGTTTTCATTCGGTATTAGAAAAAAATTCAAAAATTGTGCCTTTACCTAGAAATAATTAAGGACTTTGAAATCGTTTTTTTCTCCGTTCGTTTGTCTTCGTCTATGTCTTCTGTTCATCCCTTTGTTTGTCCCCATTTTTCACTTTTTTCATGTTTCTTGGTGGTTTAGTTTAACAAAAACAATTAAATAACTATTAATCAATTAAAAAAATATTTAATATCTTTTAGTTTAATTGGTAATTTAAAAATGAAAAATGAAAAATCATCATCTCTTATACCACATATTTTTTAAAAAATGCCACGTATTTAAAGAAAATACACATCAATTTTTTTTTTGAAACAAAACTATTAAAAACTAAATGAGTGGGTTATAATAAATTGAATATAATTCTAACCATGTTTTTACTAGAAAAAACCTGAATCCTGGTATATAGATACAGTTTATTTTTCTTGTTTCAACTCGATTCGCAATTTAATTACAACACATGGATCGCCGGGAAATAGTCAGTGAGGTAACGCCGGCGTCCAAACCCTCGGCGGTGGAAGCATCGCCGCCAATCTCAGCTTCAGAGACCTTCACAGTAAACTTGATATGCGGACTGAGTCTGGCTCTAGCCTTCTATATATCCAACAGTCTCTACTCCATCGATCTCGTTACCGATCCTTCTCTCACTCTATTCCTCATTTCGGTACTGTCGCTTTATTTCTCTTCTATTCTCTGCTTTTAGGTTTCTTAATTTCAGTAATTTTCTAACTCTGCGTCGTTTAGATTATAGAGCTTCCGATCGTGATCCTTCTATACAGTCGCTATCGGCAGAATCGTCAACAATGCTCGGTAATGCCTCTTGATTCATTTCTCAAATTCCATCGTTCTTGTGAATATTCTAGGTTTTTTTCTTTCTTTCTCTGTTTTCACGTGATGGATTCTGTTGTTCTATGCAGTACCTACGAGCCGTTGGAAGAGGTGTTCTAGGAGTGCCAGTAGGTCAGTTCAAACTTCAGTTTCAATGTCACATTTTTGCAATTGTTAGTGGCATCAAGAAATGAAAAAGATTCCATATTCTCAAACTGATTTTTGAATTTTGTTGTGTCAAGTAGCATTGCTATATTGATATTCCATTATGATTTGGTTCTCTGTTTTTAAAAAAGGTCCGCACGAAAATGACTGCCACAAAACGGTATTGGTAGGTGTTGATACCGATACCATTATTCACCTTTTTTATGTTAAAGAATAAATTGTGGTTAATTCTTACCGCGACAACCGCAATCAGTGTCGCAATAGATGTACGGACCGAAATTGCGAAAGCCTTTATTCGACCACAATGTGACCACGGCTGTTTTTTAAAACCTTGGTTCTCATCATCCATGATTTTGTTGCTCTTTTTTCATGGCAATGCCATTATACATTTTTTATGAGTGGCTTGATGTTATGTAAAAACTGATTGACTTGTATCTTTTTCTCTGCAGGAGCTTTACTAAATTCATTAGGAGCTATTGCTTTGGGGGCACCGGTTACCTTTCAGTAAGTCAAATGAGTTTTCTTAGAGTGCATTTTTTTTCCTGCACATAATTGAGGTAATTATTGATGAGATAACGGATTAAGTTTAAATAATAAATACTACTGCTCCTTTAAACAAAACAACTTGAACCCGTCTTATTATGTGTACAAAAGATGCCTTTTCAATTTCAAGTTTGAAGTTTCCCGTAATGGTTAGAGTGTATAATGACTTTTGCAATTTACATGAGACAGGTGCCTGCCCAAGACTCTAGCTTGGTCTCTTATGATGTCATTGTTCACAGTGAGTGACTAAACCATTGCCCTTTATTGAAAAATATATTTGTATTGTTTATTGGACTTGTCTCGAACATGTCTTGTATCTATTTAGATGTTGATAATTTACATTCTTTTGTCTGGTAATTCTTTTTGCTTTTGTTTTTCTGTTTGAAAAAGTGATCATGTATGGAAATATAATAATGTTTAGTTGTTTATTGATTATTACTACAAGAACAAGAAAATTATATCCACATGTTTTGCATTTCATTTCCTCTTATCTATGAGAATCTGTATTCTCATAAAAGGACGGTTGGTGTTAGCTACATCTTTTCATGTTTAAACAAATCACACTCATTCTCCTTCTGTTACTCGTTAACCATCACATATTCTAGAACATACATTTGATCTGATTCAATTGTGGGAGGTTCCAGTTATCAGCCATCAATTCGTTCTTTTGCACCTAATCACCTCACCATACAAAGCTTTGATAGTCAGCATATATTGAAGTGAAAGTGAGTTGCGTCATTATCACTTTAGACATGCCCCACATTATCAGTTCAGACATCAATTTCTGCATGAAACAATTTTATCAAGATTTCCTACAATTATATTTCAAGTAGTGAAATCAATTTCTTGTCAATCTTCTACCCCTTCCTTGAATAAATTACTTCTTCACAAGTTTTGTTAAGATTGATATATATTTTAAGCTATGGACTATGGCCTCATTTTTATGTACACTCACATTTATGCACGACTTATGCTATTACAGACAGTTCCAGCATCATGTGTTCTTGGTTCATCATGGGCTGACTGGAAACGGATATTTGCGCACACAAAGTATGTTCTTCTAGTTAAATGTCTTAACTCTTTCCAATTTTGGTTATCCAAAATTTTCCACAATGCAATCTACTTATTTGGTCCTTTCAGTATGGTATTAGTATTTAGTTGTTACATTATTATAATCCTTGTACTACGTATAGGCCGAATGGATCTATTGAGTACCTGATTTGTTTACAAGCCCATGGAGCAGTAATAGGGGGATGGTTTGGGGCCTGGCCAATGCCACTTGACTGGGAGAGGCCCTGGCAGGTAATCTCTTTTTTCTAGTTTTCTGTCCTTGAGATGATTGACCATTGTATGCTAAATTCATAGAGCATATAGGAGGTCTTACCAAAGTTACATTTCTTCCACGTACCTCTCCACGATCTATTTAGCATCCTTCTTTAACTGGTTTGATCAATTGAAGATGTTTCAATTGTTTATATTCCTGTTTATGGCGACATGTTTTTAAAAGAAGCATCCCTCTTACTAGTTACTATGCTTGTGAGGTTGTTTGTTTTGCAATATAATGACGGACATCAGCTGACTAGCCCCTTGCTATTTCATGTTTATAACTATTTTTGTGATATATCACTAACAAAAAGGATATTCCTATATAACTCTAAAACGTAAAAGTATCCAGATTCATCTGTTTACTTTTAGCATTGTTTGTCTTGCTTAAGGATACAAAATTTGCTCGCCAGACCTAAAAGTTTAAATATCATGTGTTGGAAATTCCGTATTCATTGCGGTCCGCCCCTAATCGCCTAATTATGACATTTGAGTTGCCTTCATTGCAGCCTCCACACCTTTATTATGTTGGGTGTGAAGGTGTGAATCTAGTCCCACATTGCTTAGAGATATGACCTATTTATTGTTTATAAAGCTGTGTATTGTTTATAAAGCTTGACCAACCCTCACCTTAGAAATTAGTTTTGTAAGATTAATTAAGCCCAACCATAGTTCTTGAGATGGTATTAGTCTGGTTTAAGATCCGTTGGGGCACCTAGTATCAGGTTTTCCATGAACATATGTTGATAATTATGTCCAACCACAAATTCAAAGATTATAGAATTTTTGTTTTGTTATATATATGGACACACTTCATTCCTCATTTTGTTCTGTTATTCTTAAGGTTTCTCTATTTGGTTTGTTAGAGTAATATATTCATCTTAATTTGTAGGAATGGCCTATTTCTGTAAGCTATGGAACATTGGCTGGTTACCTAGTGGCATCAGTTGCATCATTAGGCTTTGTTCTTGCTCATCGTAGTAGGTTGCAACATGTCAAAAATGAATGAAGTGCGAATGTCTGCTCCTGTTAATTGGTAAGTTAATCAACTAGCAGCAGCCAATTTTGGTACTTTGTTGAAATCATTTAGAAGATATAGAAAAGAGAGAAAATGTAGGAAGACTCTTAATAATATTTTGATAATATGATGATAAGAAATTTGCTTTTGGTAAAATCCAGCTACTTGTAATTCTATTCATTCTAAAAAGAGTCAAGTACGTGGAGTATAACTATTACAAGCGAGAGTACAAAAAAGACTACCATCCTCATATGGCCCCTAATTTACGAGGAAAAAGAGTCATTGATCTGTCATGAGCTTAAGCGCAACTGCAACAACATTCAAGAGAAGAATAAGATACTTTGTCTGACTTAAAGGCCACTTTAGGGGAAGGTCCTAAACCATTTTACAAAAATCTAACTTGTTTATTCGGGATATATCATGTAAAGACGATAAGAGCACTATTGTGATATTAGTTTACTTGTTTATTTAGGATATCTATAACGATATATAAAGGCAAAACATTATTTTGGTTTTAATTATACCCTTTTATCGGTTTTTATTTTTGTAGCAATGTATGACTATTGTTCCACAATCCACATATAAGATTCCCATGCCTGTGAAGCTACAAACATTGCAGTAAAAGTCTCCTTATTGATTAGATCAAGAGAAACAAAGCAAGAGTTTATTTTTTTATTACTTTAGATAGATCATTTAATATGTCATTCTTATTTTTTATTATTACATAAGAGGATATAAACTAGAAAGGCCATAACTTTACTATAATGTAGATAACCCTCCATCTTTATTCTATTTGCAGCATACTCCGTCAACAATCCTTTTACTATCCGAGTGTTTGAGAAGCTGCAAAAAAATACAGTAAATATTTTCCATTAGAATGACTCACTACTAAACAGGTTGGCATACCAATGATACCATTAAGAATAAGCTGCATAAGGCTCAAACTACTAGCAACTCAGGCATAGCTTTGTTGGTGTTTCTTTTTTTTTCTTTTTCTTTTTCTTTTTATCTATTTATTTAACAGTTATAGTTATATATACACAAACAGAGTATGCTGAAAGATAATTAGTTTTCAGTTAGAAGAGCCAATTTACTCACCTGTTGAAGAAAGAGCCCAGTTGCTGTCTTGTTCAATATGCCAAAAGAAATATCCCAACAATCCATTTTGCTTGGCATAAGAAACCTTGGTAGATATACTCTGAGTATCATCGTATCCATACCAATCTGTCCCTTTGAAGGCGTAATTTGTGACATATGTGGAATTGTACACAACCTGCGCCCCAGCATTTTTTATATCCTTGTACTTCACTGCCCCAAGTCCCTTGGTAGCTTTATCGAAAAGTCCATGTTTATTAGGATCTGACAAACTCCACTTGTAACCATAGGCGGGTAAACCCAGTGCTAGTTTGTTTTTCGGCACTCCTAACCCTATCCATTTTGTGATACCTTCATCTACACTGAACTGGCCAGTTGGGTTTTTCAAAGGAGCAGGCGGCTGTGTCGATGTTGGATAACTATCTGAGATGAAAAGGTCATAAGTCATTACATTGACCCAATCCAAGTTGTTTGCAATATCCGGACCTGGGTAGAACTTCAATCCAGTGATCTGATCAGAGCCACCTACTGCAGCTGTTAACAGCAGTACTGCCTTCCCGGAACTGCTAGACTCTTTCGCCACTGCAGCCCTCCACTCCTTGATGAGTAAACCAAAGTTGGTCTTAGCTGTGTCTGTGGATGGATATTCCCAGTCAAGATCAAGACCATTGAAGTTATTACTTCTGGCTAGTTGGATTGAAGAGTCTATGAACGATTTTCGGCTACTAGCTTGGCTAGCCATACTGGCAAACTTGTCTGCCAAAGCAGAACCTCCACCACCACCAATTGATAAAAGGGTTTTCACTGAACTACTCTTTGCTTGGACGGTTTGAGTGAAGGTTGAGAATCTAGCTGCGTTTGCAGAAGAAATTGTGACAGTGTTGGTGCTAGGATCAAGGTCAGCAAATGCACAGAACAGGTGAGTGAAATATGAGGGATTAATGTCAGAAACTGCAAGGCCACTATCGGAATACCAATAGCCGCCTTTAACGGCAGCGTTTGTAGGGGAGAATTGTATTTGGAGAGTCATGAGGAGAGTGGAAATCAGGAGCAATGAATGCTTTTTGAAGTTAGCCATTTTTGTTGTTGTGGATATAAATTGTCCTGGCCAAGTGATATTTATAGCACTATAACAGCACATTTTGTTGACTCTTCTCTTGCTTGTTCAATAAGTTATCTCCTTCAACCTTATAGCTAAATATCCCATGGAAGTATATAACAGCACATTTTGTTCAATCTTATCTTGAGTATTTAATGTAGTGATGTCATAGATTATTTCTTGATAAATTGTCGGTAATTTATTCATAACGACACTAAAGAAAAAAATAAAACAGGTGAGAGATGGGTAGTTTAACTAATTTGAATTAACTGAGTTAAAGATTATGGAAGCTGGAGAACTCTGGTAATCTATAAATTTATAAATATAATATAAAACGGCTAACAATTTGTTGTTTAAATATAAAAATCTTAAAACAAATATAAGTAATTTTTCACGAAGAGTTATCGAGAGGTGTAGGTATATTAAATTCGATACGAATTCTGATTCATAATAAAATAACTAGTTAAAATTAAAATCTGTAAAATTTGTTTGAGTAAAAAAGAGCTAATAATAATAATTTAGACAGGCATTGAGATTGAGAGTTCGTTTACCTTAGTTTTATTTACATTTTGTCATCTAGAATAAATTACCTATAACTTATCGGGGTAATTAAGAAAAACAATCTAATCTTGTTCTTAGAAAATAATTAGATCATTCTTATGTATCTAAAATTTGGGTGGGTATCAATCTCTCAGACAAAATTTATTACTATTTTAAAATAAATAGATATTAGAAATTACATAACATTACATAATTAGATAACTCAAAGATACGATATTGCTCACCAAATAGTTATCAATACATTAGTAAAAAAGCAATCAGTTCAATTTAAAATTTAAAGAACTTTTAATATAAGACAAATACTTTTTATTTAACTTTAATTTTTTTAAAATTAAAGATATTAATATAAAAAAATGAGAGATTTTGTCATTATACCAACAAATTTTCTCTATACCTTTTTATATGAAAAATCTGAAATTCATGATCTAATTCATAACTTTAGAATCAAGTATAACTTTTTTTATTTTTTTAGATTTTTATTTTTATTCAATCAAGTATAACTTGTTAAATGTAATATAGTAAGTCTATTATTCTCTTTTATTAATATATTAAGCTTAATTATAATTTTGGTGAAATTAATCTCTTATTTTGAAGAATGTGCTGAACTGGATCCAAATGAAGCATAAGCTAGTGGAATGGAAGCATGAACTAAGATGGATTATCCAACATATAGTAAAAGAGAGGTTGGAGAGTTGCCATTATCAAGCTTGCGGCAGCAAAAACAGTTTACGAGGTCTGTAAATGTTGAAATGATAAAAGCTATGAAAATAGTGTAAAAATACAAATGTAGATGAGAGAATCATAAACAATGTTTATAGGAGATGTAACATAGTGAAACTTGCACACATAGTTAGGTTAATGATGAATTCGCTTTAGAGTTGGTTTAATTTGTTTGTCTCTTTGAGTTTTGAGAATTAAATTCTTGCGATCGTCTTGTTTAACTGTTTTGAAAGTTTTATTGATTAAAAAAAAGAAGGTATTTATACTATTTTTTACACCCTCTAAATGTCTCTTTTATAACATTTTGTTATTTTGAATTATTTGTTATTTTAGAATATCATGATAGTTTTTATTAATATTTTCTAATAAAGTATCCTATTTAATGTCTCAGTTAATTTAACTACTCTTCTAATTACCGTTAAAGGCATTTAAAAAAATTAAATTAATTTTATTATTGAAATTAATTACATAAATCATTTTTTAAATAGTTGTGTACAGCTCATATAAAACACAATAAAATGAAGGGAGTAATAAAAGAATTTGGGTACAATGTCCATTATTTACTTAAAGTCCAACACAAACCGATTTATTCAATGACTTATATCCATGGGTTTGACATTTCAAACATCAATTTGATGGTTGAAAGAAAGTAAATTAAATATCACTTTTATTTTTACATTTGAAAATAAGTAGTAAGAGAATACATTAAGATAATTCAACTAATGGTTAAAAAAAGCAATTGAAAATTTAAGATTCCGACAAAAAACAATGTAAAATTAATAATAAAATAGTAACAATTTATTACTAAGAAAATCTCTCAGTTTTAAAATAAATGACTTTTTTTAGCATGCACAAGAGAGTCAAATTTTGTAGCATACACAATTATTTGATACCATGCCATAGACAATACATGCTTGACCTGGTCATATCCCCCTACACACGTCTTTTCACTCACCACCACAAATCCAATTACCGCCATATGCTCCCATGAAAATGGATATTTCTTTAAAGTCAATTAGTCTTTACATCCACGTTTAAATAGATGGGGACAAACCATATTTAGAAAGAGAAATTGCATTTTTTAATATATTATTTTTTATTATAATTGATTTTAATTTTTACACGTATTAAAAAATATAATAATTATAATATAAAAAATATAAATAATTTTATAAAATTATCTTGATATTAAAAATATAAGTTTATATAATTGAAAGGAAAGAGAATAATAAATATTTAAGGGTATAATTAGAGATGTAAATGGATATCCATGAGACTGATACTATAATATCTGTATCCGCGCCGTTTAGGGGTGGCAAAATGGGATGCACGCCTCGCCCCGCCCCATTCTGCCTTAATTTCAAAAAAAAAAGGCGTGACGGGCAAGCCCGCCAAGTAGAAATGAAAATAGATTAATAGACTTGTTTTTACATTTTAATTAAATTTTTCACTTATTTTTTAGAACAATTTTCATAAAATATTTTAACAAATTTTATTTCACAAAATATTACATATATTTTCAAATAAATGTATAAAATAAAATCATCAAGAATTAAAATTACTAGAATTAACTAAAAAATGACGGGTTTAAGGTGGGACAAGCTGGGCGAATAGGTGCGGCGGATTTTCGCGGGGCGAGTTTTGGTGGGCAGCGGACCCAAAGTTCCAACCTAACCCGCCATTTTCTGGCGGATGTGTGGCCCAGTCTGGCCACAATCTGTTTTGTCACCCATAACCACGTTGGATAAATATAATATCCATATCCGCCTTATATCCATGCGGATATCCGTTAAGCGGGCTATCCGCATGTTTTACGGTATTCGCGGATATTTATAGACATCCATGAATAACATTTTTTTTATAAATTTCTTTTTTGAAATTTTTTTAAAACTTATTTTAAAGACACAAAAAACTATATCACATAACATCTATACAATTCGCTCTTAATTTAATAATAAAATTTCATCATATTAATTTTCTTCTTTTTCACCAAAACATAATTAGGTCCAAACATAATATTCATACATTTCATTTTTACCAAACAAATAAAAGATATTGTGATTGTGAGTTTTGATGGAAGAGCGGACGACAGAGAAGTAGGAAGGGAGACACTGGTTCAATAGAGAAATGACAACAATAGTTGATTAGACTGTGAAATTGTTGAAGTGAGGTATGAAGTATTGAGGAATTTAAATATGAAATGATTAATAGAATTTGAATAAAATGTGAAAGATTTTCTCAAAGAAAATTTCAAAATAAAAAATTAAAAAAAATACAAAAAAAATTAACTTTTTTTAGAAAATGAAAAAATAAGGTATAATAAACAATAATATTTAAATGATTTTTATAAATTATTAACGAATATAGATATCCGCGGACACAAATATTAGTAAACTCATATTCATATCCTTTAACAAACATATATTAAAATATCCATTTATTTTATCCGTGAATATTCATTAAGTTACTTGCTCCATATTCATGATGAATTTTAGCTACGGATATCTGCGGGTACAATTTTTTTTTTGCCATCTCTAAGTATAATAGAAAAAATAATATTAATGATTTATTAGTGTTACAGAATGACTTATATTGTGTTATAATTTTTTTCTCAAAAAATACATAATAAAAAACGGAGTAAATATTATTTAATTCAGACGATTGTAATGAATAATTGATTAGTCATTAATAATTTTTTATTCAATTTTATTTATTAGTTAATTAATATATTTTTAAGTAGTTCTCATTTTATAAATATTCATCTTTTTCATATACTTTTTCTTCAAAAACATTCATTTTCTTCATCTAAATTTCATTGAATAATACAAAAAGTTATCAAATTCAGGTTTCAAACTTATATCTACTCTTTGAATAACTAAATCCAATTTTAAAAAACTCATTTCAATATTATTCTCTAAATCTGAAAGAATTGTGTTGTGTTCCAAATATGGATAAAGTAATCCTAAATCCATTAAAAATAAATTTTCAAAAACATCTTAATGAAATCTCTAAATTAAAAAAAAAATTTCAAAACAAAATATTACAACAATAAATTTAACTTTTTTTTCCGAACCATCACAAAATTCCTAAAAAAAAATAAAAGTTTCTATTACGCCAAAAGAATTGAAACATATCAAAAGAATTGAACTATCACCAATATTAATTACAAAGCCACCACAAAATTATAGAATCACCACAAAATTCTTAAATTTAGAGTTTCCACCAAAAATAACAACAAAAAAACTCAAATCTTGTATAATTGAAAAAAAAGAGAGAAATTTAAAGGTTTCCAACCCAACCAAAAAATAAGATTTCCAAATTTGTAATTGAAAAAAAATCTTAATTAACATATTTGAAATTGAAAAGTACATTCATGTATGTTGAAAAGAGAAATTTCAACTCTTGAAAAGTGCATGCATGTGTGTTGAAAATAGAAAAACACATATTTTAAAGAGACTGAAATTTTGTCGTTCTTCAATAAAAGAGAAGAGGAATTTTAGTAGAGGTGTGTTCTTGAAATACGAGAGATCCAATATTCTCTCTCTCTCTCTCTCATGATAGTAAATATAGTGATGATTTAGTGTTGTTGAATGATTTGGTGTTGTTGTTCTTCTATGACTTTTGTTTTGGAAGAAGAAAGTGAAGAAATTAAAGATGAAGAAGAAAATGAAGAAATTGAAGATGAAGATATAGATGAC